TTTTCACCACTTTTCAGGTTCATTAGATTTGTTTTTTACCTTTCGGTATTTGTCTTGACATTTCGTCTTGTATTTGGCAATACTTATTTCTGATAACTCGACATTCAATTACGACGTTTCGAATTCGTTCGCAATTCTCAGATTCCACAGCATTTTTTGATTCACTAAAACAAAATAATAAACGAAAATTCAATTACATACTTTCCGTGCAAAAGTTTTAGGCAAATTTATCATTAAAAGACTACGAACGTTCATGCATACATACATATCGTTACCTAAAGGTGACAAGCCCATTTATGAAGTGAAACTTCTTTAACGGCAATTAGTTCGTTGAGAGTAAATTGAGAAACTCAACGGAAATTGCACACGGAAATTGTTGGAACGAAAGCAAATGCTTCTTAAATGGTTTTAATTTGACATACAATTCGTGAACAGCATGTCAAAAAACGTAATCCGTGTTAATTTCACAAAGATTTCCCTAATTTTAGAGAAATTGGCGGTTGATTTGACAGCTGTCAACTGTCAAACTATAAATTTTATGGCAAACTAAGTAAAGGAGAGAACGTACATTGATGAAGAAAATAAAAATAAAAACCAAAACAAAGATGCAGAAAGATAAATGCAAAAATTGAGATTATGGTAGATTTAAGCCCTTTACTTATATAAGTGCAAAGATGAAGGAGAATATATATGTATATGAAGAAAATAATAAATATAAAGCTAAAGATAAAGATAAATATTAGAAAGAAAGACTAATATAAAGGTAATGAAATTTTCGGGATTCTCGGGACTGAATCAGGATTTTCAATACTGTTTCGGTATTCTCGGGACTATTTCGAGATTTTCGAGACTATTACGAAAATTTCCATATATTTATCGATATTGTTTTCGATATACATATCGATATTGTTATCAACGTAATAATGCGTTTTGTTTTCGATATATTTATAGATACTGCTGTTGATGTAGTAATCGATAATTTTATCGATATAAAAACCCGTATATTGTTATTGGTATATTTATGAACATATTTTTATCGGCATACATTGTTATTGATATATTTATCAACATATTTCTCGATACTCTTATCGATATAACAATCCATTGGTTATCGATTTTTTATCGATATTGTTATCGATAATTCTTCCGATTTTGTTACCGATATTTTATTCGATTTTGTTATCGATATATTTATGGATACTTTTATAGATATTAGAACGAAAAAACATAAAATATAACTTTAAGCATATATGATT